TTATTAACACTGTACCCCATTTATTTCATTTTCTTTCTAAGAAACAAACTGTGGTGGAGATCACTGAAGTCCCTGTGGAAACCTCCTCCTCCCTTCTTTCTCCAGAGATAATTGCCATCCTGGTTTTATCATTTCCCTGTCTGTTTTTATTCTTTCGCTGAGTGTGTATAAGTCTAATATGTAGTTTGTTCTTTAAAGTTTTATATAAATGGAGTCACGTGGCATGTGTCATCCTGCAGCTTGCTTTTTCTCACGCAACACCAGGTTTCTGAGATTTGGCCTTCTTGATCCTGCAGCTCTGGTCTCCACTTGCCTTGATGAATGATACACTACCCCATGTAGCAACCCCCATTTATTTATTTATCCTTTCTGACGGACACCAAGGTGTTCCCAGTGTCTTGCTGTTCCATGAATATTCTTGCGTGGTTGTGCTTTGCACATACGTGCTTCACTAGGGTCGTGGAATTGCTGGGTCATTGGATATGTGCACTCAATCTTTTAAAGTTATTTAGTTTCATTATAAAGTCAGTGCTGCTTGGTAAAAGAAATGGTGGCAATATATAATCTTAGAAAAAATAGTGATCACTTACATTTTCTGAGTACTGCCTATTGTCCTTTCCACGGTCTTAGTCATTCTTCACAACAACTCTGGGAGGTAGGAACTGTCATTCCCATTTCACTGATGAGGAAAGGGAGGCTCATGGAGGGTAAAGGACTTTCCCAAGTTTCCCTAGTATCTACTTGCTCAGCTGCAGCTCGAGTCCAGGGTTGTCCTCTTTCAAAACTCTTGAAGGGCACGCTGCATTAGGTCAGCCACGTCACTCCGTGACACACGATACTTGCTTTATGTGCAGCTCAGGGGGACTTTTTGGAAAGAGTCACAATCATGTTTGCAATTTAGAGAGGCCACTTTGGAAATGGCAGGTCCCCGTGGGCAGGTATCTTCAGTTCCTCCTGTGGTGGAGCACAGATTAAAATCCAACTCTGACTCTAGTCTGTTCCTAGAGTGACTTTGCCTTGCCTTCACTGGGGTCAGGGTAGGGGGATTTTCTGACCCCAGGGGGGACTGAGGGTCTCCCAGTTCTACCGAGCTCTGCCCATGAGACACTAAAGTAGCAGCGAGGCAAAGTACAGTAGGGAGGTCGGGGGAGAAGGAGAGAGTGGGGGCGGCTACAGGCTGCCTGACACCCCTTCCCACCCTCCAGCTCCCCCTCACTTGGGCCTCAAGTGTGGGTGGGAACTGAATGGGAGAGCCCCCACCACGATGCTCCTGGCATTGGTCACCAGCCCTGCTCCATGCTACAGCTCCGTCCAGTCCAGTGCCTCCCCCAGCACCCTCCCTTCTCCAAGGCACAGTGGAGAGGCCACCATCACCACAGGAGTATATGTCGCCTGGGCCCAGCAAGGTACCCTGGAGCAGAAAGGCCTTGAAGGTGAGGGGGCAGCCTGTGGAGAAGTGGGGGCCTCAGTTGCAGCCAGGGGACGATAAAGGTTTGGCGCTGTTGCTTCTGCAGAAAGCATCACTGTCTTCTCTCAGGCTCCTGGGAGGAGCCAGACCAGGTTCCTGTCTACACAGCCTTCATTCCCTTATCTGTCAGCTGCAGATAAGAGTGTGCAGTCATCAAGTTAGATAAAGTGGTGTGATATTCTCTTTGTGAAGGTGGGGTGGCTGTTAATGCTATTATTTAAGTCAGATGGGGCCAATGTCCCCAGCCTAGCTCCCCAGCCAGCCTGGCCTCACCCTCCAGGGCCTCTGTCTTCCAGCTCTTCCAGATTACTTGTACCTCCTATGGTGTCATGCCTCCAGTCCTTTGCACATACTGTTTCCCCCTTTTTGGATTTCTTCCTCCATCTCGTCCTCAATTCACTGCCGTCTTTTCCAGACAGCTTCCTTGAGTGCCCAGGCGGGGTTAGAGGCCTCTTCTGTGATTCCCACTGTTGCAGGCCTGAGCGAGCTGGCAGCCACTGCCTCTGTCTGCATCTGTGTGAGTCCTCCAGGGCAGGCCTAGGTATGGGTCACTCTGAGTCCCCAGGGCCCAACCCCTGGCCTGGCCTAGAGCGGGAGATTCGTGGGTGAGCCACTGCGCCTGGCCTGAGTAATTTCTTTAGATTTTTCATTTCCCTAGTTTTCTCTTTAGGTGTATCTGATATACTACTTATCCTGTCTACTGCGTTTTTCATTTCAATGATTATATATTTATTTTTTTAAATTTTTTACCACTTCCATTTGATTATGGAAATGATTATATTTTTCATTTCCAGAAATTCTGCTTTGTTCTTTTTCAAATCTGTTTGATTATTTGGGGAAGTATTTTGGTCCATGCTTCAAGCCTATCTTTAATTTCTTTATACATCTTAAACACATTTATATTCTATATCTCATAATTCTAGCATTTTGAACTCTCGAGGAAACTAATTCTGCTATTTCCTGTTTCTGGTGCTTGCTGCTCACATGGTTTGTTTCCTAGTGTGTTCTGTAATTTTATCATTTTATCACCACCCAAAGCTGCCCCTGCCTCTCTCTTCATGAGGCCAGGACAGTGTCTGTCTGTGCCCAGGGGCATAGCCTAGTGACAGATGTTCAATCCATTCATCTCTGTCGGGTGGATCAATGAAGAGGCAGTGAGCACCTACTGCCCTGAGTATTTAACTGGCATTCTCTCCAAGAGCCCTCAAAATGCCCTCAAAATGGGATTGTTACCCCCACTGCAGATAAGGAAACTGAAGCACAGCAGAGAGGTGACTTAGCTAAGGTCACATGCTCAAGCATGGGTTCTTACCCAAGGATTTGCCTGAGCTAGTGCCCATCAGCTCAGCCCCAGGAAGCCAAGCCCATTGCCGTGGCTTATGCCAACCTCTGAACAATTCCAGAGCCAAGGGCCTGCCTCCCACTTCTGTACACACACCTCCCCCTGACCCCTCCACTCCCCACCAAAGAAGAGTTTCTTCTCACTTGGTCTACCTGGAGAGAAAGATGCACAGCCTGATGGACAGTTGTGCAGATGTGCATATTCCCCCCAGCTCCGACCTGGATCGCCTGAGGCCAGGAGTTCTAGACCAGCCTGGGCAATAGTGAGACCCCATCTCTACAAAAAAAATTTTAAAAATTAGGCCAAGCACGGTGGCTCACGCCTGTAATCCTAGCACTCTGGGAGGCCGAGGCGGGCAGATTGTTTGAGCTCAGGAGTTCGAGACCAGCCTGAGCAAGAGCGAGACCCCGTCTCTACTAAAAAAAATAAAAAGAAATTATCTGAACAACTAAAAATATATAGAAAAAATTAGCCGGGCATGGTGGCTTGTGCCTGTAGTCCCAGCTACTTGGGAGGCTGAGGCAGTAGGCTCGCTTGAGCCCAGGAGTTTGAGGTTGCTGTGAGCTAGGCTAACACCACGGCACTCACTCTAGCTAGGGCAACAGAGTGAGACTCTGTCTCAAAAAAAAAAAATAATAATAATAATAATTAATCAGTCATGGTGGGGCTCACCTGTAGTCCCAGCTACTTGGGAGGCTGAGGCAGGAGGATTATTTGAGCCCAGGAGTTTGAGGTTGCTGTGACCTATGATGATGCCACTGTATTCCAGCCTGCACAACAGAGTGAGATTCTGTCTCATACTATAATAATAATAATAATAATAATAAAATAAATTACTCAGAATCTAACAGTGAATAATGAGATGGTAAAGAAGTGAGTTAAGAGACATGAAATATAGAATAAAAAGATCTAATGGAGAAGAGAGAAGGGACAGGAGGTGGCGGGAGTGGAAGGTGGAGTCTTCCAACAAACTGGGTAAAGGTGGTAGTGGCCTGGACCACAGGGCACTGGGCACAGAAGGGGTGGATATTAAGAGATGCTGGGAAGCAGAATGGATAGGGTTAGTGATGGAGTAGGTGACGGAGGCCAGGGAGAGGCATGTGGCAAGGACGACTATCAGATTTCTGGCCTGAGGAACTGGGTAGAGCGGTGTCACTCCTGAAAATGGCAAAGATTGGGGGAAGAACAGGTTTGAGAGAATGAACAAAAATTCAGTTTGAACAAAACACATGTTTCAGTTTGCCTGGGAAGATTTACTGATGTATCACAGAGGAAGAGACATTAGAGCTGGGCCTTGAGATTTGTGTAGGAGTTTTCCTGGTGTAGAAGGGAATTTCTTTTAACTAACTTTTGGGAAACAGGATTTCCCTTCAGTGAGATCATTGAGCCCCCTTCTGGAACCTTCTTTCACTCAAAAGAGGCCCCTTGAGAGGAGGCATTATCAAGACCATCAAATAGACAGGCCTCAGTGATCTCTTAATTTCATCTCTCATTTTTCAGATGGGAAAGCTGAGACCTAGAAAAATCAGGGATTTGCTTTCCCAGCCTTACCCTCTTCATTCACTCATTCCTTCCTTCATTCATTCATTCACCTGGCAGATATTTATGAAAAGCCTACTTTGGGCTGGGCATAGTGGCTCACACCTATAATCCCAGCACTTTGAGAAGCTGAGGCGGGAGGATCTCCTGAGCCCAGCATTTTGAAGCCAGCTTGGTCAACATAGTGAGACCCTATTTCTACAAAAAATAAAAAAATTAGCCAGGTGTGGTGGTATGTGCCTGTGGTCCCAGCCACTTGGGAGGCTAAGGCTGGAGGATTGCTTGAGCCTAGGAGTTGGAGGATGCAGTGAGTTGACGATGTCGCTGCACCCTAGCCTGAGCAACAGAGCAAGACCCCATCTCTAAAAAAAAGTACTTTGTACCAGATGCCAAGTGCTGAGGATAAAGCACTAAATAAATAAAACCAAGAGTCCTGCTTCTGGAAGCTTAAACACACACACACACATATACACAAAATCATGTCAAAGGGTGATAGAAGCTGTATAAAGAAACATAAAGACTGGAAAGGGGTCAGGTATAGTGGAGGTGCCATCAGAATGGTAAGTATGAAAGGCCCTGGGCTGCTCTTATGGGGCTGCTTCTCCCACCCACCCCCGCAGCACAGCCCATTGTGACAGTATCTGGGGTTCTAGAATGCAGGCCTGGGGGACAGGAGGAGACCTGAAGAAGGAGGAGAGAGACAGAGAGACTGAAGAGGGATTTAGTGGGTGGGCTGTACCCCCCAAGGGGGGGCAGCAAAGCCCAATGGGTCAGAAGGGCCACAAAGACTCCCTTTACCCTTGCGGAAGGTGAGATAAATTTATTCCTAAGGCTGCCTTATAGCCCGTGCTCAGCCCCTTCCCCACCCTCCATCAGATCTCAGATGACACCCCCTTCTGCTTCTCCTCCCATCCTTGAGAACACCAAGACGCGAGTCCAGGTTGTCCCTATGTCCCAGTACAGAGTAGGCAGCCTGGGGCAGCTTGTGACAGGCATCTAAGGCCAGCCAGGGAGGCTGAGTGGGCCCTGTGAGGGATTTGAGAGGCCCCAGGGTCACACCCTGTGTCTATCCCCACAGGACTCCCGTGAGCAGCCTCCACGAGGCCCTGGACCAGTGCATGACCGCCCTGGACCTCTTCCTCACCAACCAGTTCTCAGAAGCACTCAGCTACCTCAAGCCCCGGTGAGGCCTAAGCCCTGGTTGGGGTGGGGGCGTGTGGGGCGAGGCAGAACCAGAGGTCTCGTGGGGGAGGATCCCCGTGTCACTGAATGTCTTCAGTTTTCTGGGTCACCATGACCCCTGAGAAGTCTCATAAAAACGGCTCAGGCTCCCCATCCCACAATCCTCTCCAAGGTCACTGTGACTTCCTTCGCCTTAGGTTCTTGAGGCCTCTTCACACTTAGATTTCCTGTTCATGCTGCATCCTCTTGGGGTTTCTCCCGTCAGCTCTAACACAGACCCTTTATTTTCCCCGAAAGCACTAAGGACCTGGTTCCTACTTTCCTGAGCATTTTAGGGCAATAATGCACGCTACGCACTTAGCCATTTCTTCTAGTGTTTACTGCCTTGTTTCTATAAATATAAATAAATAATGTGCTTATGTTCCTTTTTTATATCACTTTTTTCAGTTTTTAAAATTGAGATATAATTATTGTACCATAAAATTTTCCCTCTTTTACTTACCACTTTTTTGTTAACCTTCATCCTCTGTGTAATGGTGTTGCTTACCACTTTTAAACATTGTCTATTGGCAGACAAAAATTTAGTTTTCCTATGCCCCTGCCCCACCTCCCTCCCTTCATCCTCCTCTTGTCATTATATCACAGTATTTGGCTAAATTGATAATCAGTGTTTGCATCGTCATTGCTTTGTAATTAATGCTCATTGCAGAGACAAAGTAGGTATTAGATTGTTTCCTTTCTGGAGTTAATAATTGTCTTGTTTTCCGTTTGCCTAATTTGCTATACATTTAGCGTTAACTCTTTATAACCCATTATCCTATCATCAGTTTTTCACAAAATGCTCAAACATATCAAGTAGGCGGTCCTGGAAACCTGTCACATGTCTTCTGGCCCCCTCCCAGCTGACTGCTGAACCCCTTTGCTTCTCTCCTGTTTCCTTGATCCTGGGTCTTTCTCTCTTGTCCCCGCCCTCATTTTACCAGAGCATGTCCTCTGGAAATTTCCTAAGAAGGAGTTGCATGAATATCAATTTTTTCCCTCAAAATTTTGAAGACATTGCTCCCAGGTTTTCTAGCCGTGAGAACCCTAATTCTTCTTACTTTGTGTGTGACCTTTTTTCTTCTCCAGAAATGTTTAGGATCTTGTCTTTTGTTCGTGAAAATCTGGGATTTCACAGTGATGTGCTGGAATGAAGGTCTTTTTCGTTCCATATTTTTATGTGGAGACTCTCAGTTCTAGCAAGTTCTCTTGTATAATCCCTCTATCTTCTGTTTCCCTTTCCTGGGCTTTCTTTCCATCAGGAATTGGACTTCCTGGAGCAATCCTTTTCTAAGCCTCTTCCCTGCCCCCTTCCCTGCCTGCCCTTTTGCATTTCTTTATCTTTTTTCCCCTCTGATTTTGAGGAGATTTTCTTAGCCTTATCATTGAGTCCTGTTAACTTTTCCTTATTTCTATAATCATATGATTAATTTCCTGGCACTCTTTATCTGAATGTTCTTTTTTGCCCATAACATCTCATTCTTGGTTTACATACTGTCTTCTTTATATCTGCATTTGCCCCCTTAGGATGGGCCCTGGCACGTAGTAAGCACTCTAATATATTTATTGTCATTATTGTCATCACAGAATATTGTCTCTTTTTAAAATGTTTTATTCTTTTCCTGCATAACTTGGCTTTCTCCGTATTCCTGAATTCTGTTTACTGGTGGGAATATCCTCTACTCGTGGGGTGCTCTCCTCAAATACCCACTGATCTCTGGCTGTCAGTCTGGTCATATTTAAAAACAAGTTCACTCAGAGACCAACTGGAAAGTCTGTGCCGAGCCACCTTGGAAATGGTGGGATTGGGTCTGGATGAGCTGGCAGAGAGCTGGCCCCCCGATGTCAGCATCTGGCGTGCTTTAGCTTCTCCAGAGAAGAATCCCACCTTCCTTAGCTTGGACAGAGAACCCCTGGAAGCCTGAATTCTGAGACTGGGGAAAGGAGGAGGGCCGGGGTCTACTCAAGCCCGCTGCCTGCTTTCCCCGACACCCTTCTTTTTAGCTCCCAGCTGTCCTCTGCACTACCGGATCTGCTTTCCCAAGCCCCCAGGAACAGCTAACGCTGAGGCAGGAGGACTGGTTTGCACAAGTGCCCGAGCCCGACCAGTTCAGTTTCTCCACTGATCCCTTGCTCTCCTGCCTGGGCTCAGTGGCCCAGCTTCTGGGGTGGGGTGGGGGTTCCAGGCTGTGCTGATCATAATGAGTCCCTGCGGTAGCTGTCCCCACACCTCACTCCTGCCCTCTGTGGGGACCCGGGCTTGAGGTGGGCAGTCCAAACCACATCCTGCTCCAGCACTGAAGGTCCAGGTTCCCCTCCTGGTGTTTTTGGGAGGCTCCTCAGCTCCTGTGTCTTTCCTGGTCATTTCCTGTCCTTCACTTGGCCCAGGCCCCCCAACCACAGCCACCCTTGGGCACTGGAAACTGGCTTTCCCAGGCCACAGCTGCTCAGCCTGTCCTGGTGCACCCCAGGCATAGACACTGGCCTTTCTCCTCCTCCCAAAGCCCAGCTAAGACCAGGCCACACCTTGGTCTGCTCTAAACTGTCCTGCAGACCTGGGGCCAACACAAGGGAGTCAGACCACAGAAGAAAATATTAAAACCAGATGCCATGGCTGCACCCAGGCCCTCAAGCTGTCCCCACCACAGGGTCCCTAAGAGGGCTGTTCCCTCTGAGCCCCTCCATGCCCTCCCTCGCCTAAGGAGGGCGCTCCACGAGCAGTCCCACAGTGCTCAGGCCCCAAGAGGAAACCTGCAAGGAAACCCACGTCCTAAAGGAGGCGCCTCAGGGATCCAGTCTTCCCATGAGGCCACCTTTGACCTCACATATAAAGCAGTGCGGCTTCTTTATATTAACCCCTGCCTTGTTCCAGAAAAGGCTCTTTCCTTTATTTTTGCACTTAATAGCTTTCCTCCCAACAGTAGTGTCAGCAGCACACTCCCGCCGCACCACCTTGCGACAACCCAAAATGTCTCCAACAATTGCCAAATGTCTCATGGGGGATAAAATTGACCCCACCTTGTGACACCAAAAAATGTTTCCATAAATTGCCAAATGTCCTCGCCACTTCCATTGAGAACCACTGGCATAAAGAAAATAATTCTTGCTAAAAAACAGCCTCCCCTCCCTGTTTGTAGCCATTGAAACTTCAAAAGATGTCGGGGTCCCATTTCATTCACTGCTCTTCACTGTACACACATTTCTCATTTAATTGTCCTACTTGATGCAGTGGGGGGTGTTATCCCTCTTTCGCTCCTCAGGGAGGTGGCTGGGCTTACCAACTCCCTCCCCCCGCCCCGTTTGCTTTCCCTGTGTCCCTTCTTGAGTAGCCTTGTCCCCACTTCCACTTTGCTCACACTTGTCTGTCCCTAATCACTGTCTCTGGAACATGGAGGCCACTCTGTTTGTTTTTCTTGATGAATCAATGCTTGTGATTAGTACGTAGCTGAGCTGGGATTCGAATCTAGGCCCCCAGGGCCGTCTGAGCCACACTGGGACTGCTGTGCTACCTTGAGTCTCAGCAGGGTGGAGGCGTTTACCTTGGGCGGGGGGCCTCAGCCTGCCTCCTCCAGCCCTGGGAGTGAAGGAGGCAGAAAGGGTGTGCACAGGGACTTGTGTGTGCTGGGGTGGGGTTGGGCGGGGGAGGAAGTTCATGGTGTGTCCCTGCCACGTCCTGGAATTCCTCTGAGAAATGAGGCAAAGTCACCTGCCGAGAGTGAGGGTTCAGGCGGTGGTGGGAGGATGATGAGGAGAGGGGGGAAAGGTGTTTCTGGACAGCGTAATGGGCCGGCCAAGGCTGGTGGCCCCCGGCTCAGGGTGTGCCTGTCTGTGCTGGGCAGCTTTCTCCAGGGTTGCTCAGTGGCTGCGAGGAGAAAGCCGGCAGTTGTGTGGCTCTTGGACTGGGGTCCTAACTGGGGGTAACAGCAGGTTGGAAGGCTTAGCATTTTGCCAAGAGAGGGTCTGGTATGAGGAAGCTAAGTTGAGGGGTCAGGAAGAGAGGACAGGCTGGAGGTGGGAGGATGCAGCAGCAGGAGGGAGAGAGCACGTGCGTGCAGAAAGGCAGGGAGTTGAGGAGGGAGGGTGGGCGGCTTCCTTTAAGACTCCAGACGCAGAGCCATTCTGTGTGATGAGGATGAGGTCAAGGTGTGATCCAGGGATTGGGGGTGATTGGGCAACCGTCGCCAGTTCATTCAGCAACACGTGGCCTGGCATTGCACTGGGTGCTGGGGCTACAGTACTGAGGAAGACGTGGGCTGTTCTCAGGGTCCAGCAGGGGAACAGTGAAACCTGCAATAAGCAACAAGCAATAACAACCTAGCCTCAGAGAGGCTCCAAGCCGTACCAGGGTGCTGAGAGCTGCACAGGGACCCCAACTCATGGGAAAGGGGCTGGTCAGGAAGGCCACATAATTCTCAGGACCTATCGCACAATGAAAACGCAGGGTCATTTGTTCAAATATTATTAAGAATTTTAAGACAGTGATAGCAGAGAATTAAACCAAGCACGGGGCCTTTTAGGTATAGAGCCCTGTGCAACAGTACAAATCACACGCCCATGAAGCTGGCCCCAGAGGGCTTCCTGGAAGAAGTGATATCTAAGCTGAGATGGGCTGGATGAGGAGTCAGCCAGGTGGAGAGGGTGTTTCCAGGCAGAGGGAACAGCCTGGGCAGAGGCCTGGCAGTGAATGAGGTCTGTGTATCTGAGAAATGGAGACACTCAGCCTGTCAGGAGTGGGAAGCTGAGGCAGGTCCCAGAAGGAAGAGGGCAAGGCGATGCAAGGCAGACTAGGGGTGTGGAGTCCTCTGGCAGCTGGGACTGGGGAGCGGGGCACTGAGGTGGACCAGAAAGTGGAGCAGGGGGAGCTTCACTGAGGATGAAGGGGCAGAGACTTGCAGAGACGGAAGGACTGCCTCTGCCTTCCAGCCTAGAGAGCCCTGAGAGGGCCTCTGAAAGGGAGGTTGGGACTGCGCTGGGGTGGGTCGGGCCTGGGAAGGAGCAGCAGGGTCGGGTCAGGCTCAGGGACCCCAGATGGTAGGGACAAGGCAGGGCCGGATGGCTGACAAGTGTCCAACAAGGCCTGAACCTTGGATGTTAGCTGAGGAAGGACGGGCTAGAGGCCACTGGGCTTAGCTGCCCTCTAGGAGGCCAAGGAGTCCTCAGCCCCAACACCCTGCTCTGCTGATGGCTCTTCCAGCACCTTCCCCATCTTGACAGCTGGTCTGGGCCCAGAAGGTGGGACCCCAGTGGGCTTCATGTCCCAGAGCTGGGTTCAGCTCAGGAGTGAGGAGACTGTTGCTCTCAGAGGTCTGGGTGCTATATATGCAAACAAAAACTTACAGAGTGCAAACTAAACTTGGGTGTCTGAGGCTTGGGCGTTTTCATACCTCTTTACCCCATTTCCCAGTCCAGACCAGAGTTAGGGGGCTTCCAGGTGGTAGGCTAGGAAGGGTCCAGGCTTCCTAGCCACAGGTGCATGTTGGGAACTTGGGCCTCAGACTAGAAATTCCACTTTGTCTGCCAGCTGCCTGGGTGGGGCTGTCCCTCTTCCTGGGCCTAGCACTAGACTGGCTTCAGCAGGTGAGGCTGGGCAGTGGTGCCACGTCCCTGTGGTGGGAGAGGAGAGAGAGGCAAGGGCTTAAGAGTTGGAGAGGCCTGGGACGGGTCTGTGTGCTGTCAGGGAAGCCCCTCCTCAAGGAGAAGGTTTTATGCAGGGAAGTGACCCTTGACCCTGGCAGGACATGGGATTCACATTTATTTATTTATTTATTTTTAAATTTTTTTATGTCCATTGAGATTAGACAAGGGTTCACATTTATTGAGCATTGGTCTCGTGGCCCCTGGCTTTGGCGTCCTACCTAAGCCACTGGAAAAGCCCTGGGAGAGAAGGGTTATTGTATTTATTCTACAGGAAGAAACCTGAGGCTCAGAGAGGCTCTGAGAAGTATGAGGGTCACATAGCTGGTAACTGGCAAAGCCAGATTCCAACCTGAGTCTGAGGGACTCTGAACCCAGCCGCTTCCTTTCCACAAGCTGCTGCCCCCAAACTACGTGGTCCTGGCAAAGGCCTGGGAGGGGCCCTGCTGGTGGCCAGGGCTGTTGAGGGGTAGACCAGACCCTGTTTTCTACCTGAGGGTCACCCAGAAGTGAAAAAGCAACTTAATTCACAGGCGTTTTATGCATGAGAAAGGGAGGAAAATGAACAAGGTCACATGATCTTACAATAAAACAGTCTATTAACCCTAGTCATCGCTTTCCTCTGAAGTTCCCAGCACACGCCTGGCACTGAGGAGCTTCATAAATAATTAACAAGGGGCGTGGGGGAGGGACGGAGAGGTGCCCAGTGCCTCCTGTCCAGGCAGGGGCTCCCCCAGTCACTCTCACTGGCCCACAGGGCCCTGGGCAGGCCGGCACTACCGTCCCCATTTTGCAGAAGCAGTAACCAAGGCTCAGCTATGTCAAATCACTCCCCCAAGTGCAGAGAGGGACTGGCATCGTTACCATCCCTCCTTGCCTGTTGTCCTCTCCGTATATTAGGATAAATGCCCCCAACACACCCTGTGGCTGAGAAGCCCAGGGCTGTGGCAGAGCAGGGAGCTGGGGGAGGGGTGAAGGTTTCCTGAGGCCATCTTGGTCGGCCCTGACACGCTGGTGCTGAGGACAGAGATGTGTCACACACAGGCTCTGTCCTTGAGGTGCCATAGTCTGGCGAGAGAGCTGGGCCTGCACTGCCATCAGGTCAGTGTGGTGAGGCCTCCGTTACAGGCACACAGTCTCTGAGGAGGAGCCCTGGGCTCCCAGTGGCCTCAGAGGCATCTGAGGGCCTTGACGGACGAGTGGGGGGATGTGGAGGTGGGGAAGGGCACTTCAGGCTGAGGGAACAGCATGGGTTAAGGCTGGCAGGAGGAAAGAGTAGGATTTCCTTGTGGATAGTCTGTGTGGTTCAGTGGGCAGGGGTGCAATCTTGAGTGTGACCAGATGGGTGGTTGGGGGGAGGAGCAAAAGCCACAAGAGAGCTGGAGAGGTGGGCAGGGCTGGCGTCCTGTGGCCTCGGCCCAGGCGTTGTCTCGTGGGATGTGGAAACCACAGGAAGGTTCAACCAGAGGGCACCATGATCAGGTGACGGAATGAGAGAGGAAGAGGCAGCAGCTGGCTAGCAGGGAGGTCCAGGGAGTGGGCATGGGGTGTGCCCAGGGGATCAACAGGGTCTCACAGGCAGGACTTGGGCTCATCCTGCTAGAGGCGGGAGCAGAAGGCAAGAGGCAGGCCCTGAGCATCGGGAAGGGCCGCCACAGGCCCGCGCGCTGCCAAGCCCTGTTTCAGTCCTCACAGCAGTGTGTTGCTGCCACCCCTACCGAGGTGATAGGAACTGGGGCTCAGCTCTGGAAGGTCACTTAGAGCCACTTAGCAGGAAGAAGAGGAGCTGGGACCAGGATCTGAGGTCTTTTGAGTAGCGGTGAAAGGATTAGACCTTGGCAAGGCCCTCCCCATCCCTGGACCTCTGTCCCGTCTGTCCCCCGTGCAGGAGGAGGGGGTGGTGGGATCTACCCAGGGCCAGCTACCCATGGAGTTCCAGGAGTTGGTGCTCTCAATGTCCTTCTTTCTGGCAGAACCAAGGAGAGCATGTACCACTCGCTGACGTATGCCACCATCCTGGAGATGCAGGCCATGATGACCTTTGACCCTCAGGACATCCTACTTGCCGGCAACATGATGAAGGAGGCACAGTCACTGTGTCAGAGGTTGGGGATGACAGGGGAGGGGTCGGGGGTGAGGATTAGAGATGGTGAGGCCCACCCTTCTGTCACCCTGGCCCATCCTAATGCCTAAAATGCCACTATTCGTGCTGCTTCCTGTGGCTAAGATGTTGTGTCCCCAAGTGCTAAGTGCTGTCCTCGTCAGCCCTGCCTTAGAATTGTTGTCTAAACCAGTCACTAAGCAGCTTCTAGGGACCAGTCTTGATTGGGAGAAAACAAATTCCGGCTCCTTCACTTAATGACTCATTGACCTCTGGCAAGTCCCTCTCTGGACTCAACTTGCCTCATCTGTAAAATTGGTATGATGAAACACCATAGGGTTATCCTGGGGACTTCATGAAGACACCAGTCACAGGACCTGGTGCATAACTGGTGTTCGGTACACATTTGCTGGTTGAATGAATGCACTGACAGACCCTGAGTGGTCGTGCCCTGGTGGAGCCATTGCTCACTGGGCACACACTCGCGCCTGCTCCGGGCTGGGCCCTGTGCTGGGCACTGACGACCCAGGAAATCATCAGACCTGGACCAGCCTGATCCTGCACCGCCTGGTCAGGGAGGCAGGCACAGACAGTGACATCCCGGCATGATGCAGGGAAGCTCAAGGTGTTGTGGGGGTCCCGCCACAGGAGCAGGACAGGCTTCCTGGGGTGGATGATGCCTGAGCCAGGGCCTGAGGGGTGCCTAGGAGCTGGCCAGGGTGGAGGGAAGAAGAGAGGGGCCTCCAATCAGCGGCAACAGCAGGGACAAAGGTGAGAGAAAGCCTGAGCCTTGGGGGAGCTGCCAGGAGTTCCTGTGTGTGGAGAATCCAGTGGGAGGAGCCTGCACAGCCAGAGGCCAGGCTGTGTCCTCAAGGCGGCGCAGAGCTGTAAGTGTTCTCAGCCAGACAGATCCTTTTGGAAAAACTCCCTGGCACACCAGGAGGGTGAACAGGCACCAAGACTGGGTGGGCAGGAGTGAGAGGCCAGGCAGGGCATGAAGAGACCTCCATTAGGCAGAGGAACTCAGAGCTAGGAAGGCTGGGAACTGCTGAGAACAGCATCAGCTACGTCGGGGGCAGGTTGGCCGGGGGCTGCTTTATATGCTCAGCCCCATGATTGATACGGTGTTAACTATCCCCGTGTTACCAATGAGGACAGCGAGGCTCAGAGACCATTTGCCAGAATTTCTGCTAGTGCTGCCTCTCTAGGAGTTTATTCTAGTGTGGCAGACAGGGACAGAGCCAAGCGTGGCCCCTTCCTCATCCTCACCTCCGGCCCCTTTCTCCTCTCCAGGCACCGGAGGAAGTCTTCGGTAACAGATTCCTTCAGCAGCCTGGTGCACCGCCCCACTCTGGGCCAGTTCACAGAAGGTGTGGCATCTGGACGTCCTCCCAACCATGCTAAGCCCAGGCGGCCCGGCTCCAGGCCCAGGGAGGGGCAGGAAGGGCAGAAGGGCAGTTATCCTCCCAGTTTTCGCCGAGGGGGCCAGGCCCTGGCTCTCTGGTGAGGGTGTGGGGGGCAGGTGAGACCCACTTACCTGGCAGCATGACTGGCTGAGAGCCTGGAAGGCGAGGAAAGGAAAAGCTGTCACAAGGTCATGGGCTTTGCTCCGCAGACAAGGGGTGCTTAGAACTGTGTGTGCAGTTAGGTTTGCTGATTAATCATCCTAGTGATTGCGTGTGCACCAGAGGGAGATGTAGTTCTAGCAGCTCACCTGCTCACACGAGACAGCTGACGGCAGAAGAGGTGGTCTTAGCTGTTGTAGCCGGTAGGATGTCTTTGTTCCGTGACCATATGTGGCAGTTCTGGAGGCAGCAGTAGCCGACCACAAGCAGTTACGGGAGAGCCCTGGAAGGTTCCAGCACCACACAGTACATCTGATTGTGCTGGGTGCACAGCGTCTACAGCGATGCTGGGGGAACAAGGAGACTGTGCCGACCTTCTGGGTGGTGGGGGGGGGACCAGAAGATGAGGGGGATGCGAGCTGACTGGAGACAGTGGGGGTTGCTCTGAAGGAGATTGCCCAGGCTGTCGGGGCTGAGGAGGGTGAGGTGCTGACACAGGCTCCCTTTGCTTTTGGGGACGTGGGATCAGGTAGATTTGGCCTAAGTCTCCTACCGAGAGTCCCAGGAGGCCACGGGGCTTTGGTTTTCTCCCCACAGAGGAAATCCACGCTGAGGTCTGCTATGCAGAGTGCCTGCTACAGAGAGCAGCGCTGACCTTCCTGCAGGTAGGAGCGCCCTACTGGAACAAGCGGGCGGGGAATTTTACGTCAGTCTCCACGTCCAAGCATGACTCATCCCCTGTCATCCAGGCAAGGACTGATGCTCGGTGACCCCCCACTCCTGAGCCTGGCCAGGCTTGACGTGGAGGGGATGGGCCTCACCTCCCGCACACCAGCGTTGCCAGGGTGCTGCTTCTACCTCGTGACTGCTGCATTTCCTGCCCAGGTCACATGGTAGTGACAGGCATTGACGCAAAGCCTACTTTACACTTGATTCATTCAGCAAATGCTGTAGCACCTATGATGTGCCAGGCTTCTTGATGATAATACAGGTGTGTGGTTTTTACATACCTTACACATGTTACAGTTTGCTTTTTTGAACATTTACATTTATTATTTAATCTTCACCTCAGAGGGAGACTTAGAAGAGAGGCGTTACTTTCCCAAGGTCACATGATTAGCAAATGGTGAGCTGGGATTTGAACCTGGGTCTGACCAGGTCGGAGCCCAGATCTCTTCACCACACAGTGGGAATTTCGAGAACTGTCACTGTATGATGTTACCAGAAAGCCTGGTTACATGTCATCATATCATCATCATGTATATATATATATTGGGGGGAGAGGGACATCTACACATTAGTGTTGGGGTGCTGTTTATTTTTCTTAGCTCTTTTTCTGTCTTTTTGGACCTCAGGTGATTAGAATTGGATTAATCCTAATGCTTGGTTTAGGGCTCACTCTAATAATTACATCATGCATTTTATTTTATTTGTTTGTTTATTATATTTTTACAAATAATGAACACCCAATGCCCCCAGCTGGAGGACAGACACTGGCCGGAGCTCTCCTCGCCCTCTGGGCCCCTCCCCACCCTTTTCCTACCCCCGACAGGGGAACCACTACTGAGAGTTTTGTGTTTATCACTGCCACCCTATTTTTTAAAAGTAGTTTTATCCACTTCCTATTCATGTCTAAACAGCATATTGTTATGCTTTAGCTGCTATTGGGCTTCCTCTGCTGTGTGGGACTCCCTCCCCTCACCCAGCCTCACCGTGCACCACAGTGTGTTTATCTGTTCTGCTGCTGTGGGGCATTTGGGTTGTTTCTGGTTCCTGGCTGTTATGAACATCCTTGAAGGTGACTTCCACAGCCCATGTCCTCCTGTTCCCCTTGGGTGCACATCTGGAGTGGAGCTGCTGGCGGGCTGTAGGTATTGGCTCTTTCAGTTATAAATGTGATAAAATACCTGCTTGTTGTAAAAACCATAATCCAAAAATAAGTATCCCCCTCCTTTCCCACAGTCCCACCACCTAGAGGGAGGCCCTGTTAGCCACCGGGAGTGTCCCCTCCAGGCCTCTCTCTGAGCACATAGTATGTGCACTTGTGAGGCTGGTAAGGGAGGTTCTGGTCCATCCATGGGCATTTTGGAGGTTTGTTTGGCCAAGGGTTAGGGAAGCCTGTTTTGGCTGACCTCCGACCCCATCCCCCCAGGGTCCCTCATAGATTTGGGCACAGGAAGGGGCAGTCGAGGCCCAGAGCCTTGTATGATCCATCTCAAGCCTACAGCTACCTGCCTGGGCCAGGCCCTCAGCACCTTTCCTCCCCGCAGGATGAGAACATGGTGAGCTTCATCAAAGGCGGCATCAGAGTTCGAAACAGCTACCAGACCTACAAGTGAGTGGGGCTGGGGGCCACAGCATCCACTACCCTGTCCCCCTCAGGCTGCTTTGTGGAAGGAGGAGAGTATTAACTGGAGGCTGGAAGCTAGAATGCTATGTGACCTCAGGCAAATTTCTACACCCTCAGGACCTCAGTTTTCTGGAATAATATTCCCCTGGTTTTCTGGTTGTCTCTATTTCTTTTGGTCCCCTGAGTGCCTACTCTGTGCCTGACCCTCTGCTAGGGGAAAATAAGACACAGATTCTGCACAAACAGCTTGGTCTTGTGGGAGCAGGGAGACAGCTACAGGAACAGTCATTTAGGGAATAGCAATAGAACTACATATCTATTAAGGCCCATTCCAGATGCCACTTTCCCCAGCAAGCCTTCCTTGACCCCTCTAGTACACAGGGATGATGTGTACATACACACACACACACACAAGCTTCCTGGGGCCCAGGGTCATTTCCATGCTATCTCTGGGTCCCTGAAATTCAGACTGGGCCTGGCACAGGCCATGTTTATGGATGAAAGAATGAAGATTCAGTCCAGAGCACTTTTACTCAATATGGCTCTACAATGCCTTATCTACAATTCCCAAATCAAAAAAAAAAAAAAAAAGCTCTTAAAACCCAGTTTTCCCATTGCCAAGTTTTGCATTAAAACTTGTTTTTCATTAAAAGTTGATTTGAGACTATTTATCATCGTTATCTTCCCCATTTAATGTGGCAGTTTCCCTGCAGAGACGTTGCAAGCTTGCTTGCCAGGTATTGCCGAGGCACAACGTGCCGTGCCGTACAGCATGTGGATGCCACGTTCCCTGGGGGCCTGGGCTGGAATTGTCTGGAAAACCAGACGAATACTCTGGCCCCTTCATTCTTCCTCCCAGCTGCCAGAACAATGTCTGCAGAGGAACACCTTGTCAGGCCACCGGTGCCAACCCCTGAGGCTCCTTTTGTCCTTAGAGTCAAGTCCTGGGTCACTGCCAAGTCATTCCTTGGAGCTCTCCCTGCCCTCCTTGCCGCATTTCCCACCTCACTCTGTGGCAGGCCCTTGGCCATCCCCTCAGTTCTTCAAATATGCCAGGCTAATTCCCACCTCAGGGCCTTGGACACGCTGTTCCCTCTGTCAGAAACACTTTCTGCACCACGGTAGCCCCAGCTCCTCCTTCAGACTTCAGCTCAAATGTTACCTCCTCAGAGAAGCCTCTCCTGATCTCCAGACTGGGTCAGGCCCCAGGATTCTTCTCCTCTGAGGCTCTAAGCACCCTCACAGCAACTCGATGGGGGTCTGTCCCTAGAGTGGGGGTGCCATGGGGGCAGCAGCTTGGTGGCTTTGCTCCCGGCTGTTCCCAGTGCCTGGCAGAGAGAAGCTTCAGTCAGTGCTTGCTGATTGAAAGCCCTCAAGATGCTCTTAGCCCAGGAAGGGGGCAGACACATCACTAAAGCCTCTGTCCTGCCCCATGTGGGCTGGGCTGTGAGCTCTGTGCAGTTGGTGACCAGGAGAAAGAGAGTTGAATTCCAACCAAGGGACTCCAGGAAGACTTCCTGAAGAGGGGATGTTTGAGTTCTCCCAGTGGTTTTCAATTGGGGGGCAGTTTTGCTCCCCATGAGACATGTAGCAATGTCAGGGGGCATTTTGGTTGTCCAGCTTGGGAGAGGACGCTACTGGCATCTCGTGGGTGGAGGCCAGGGATGCTGCTAAACATCCTACGATGCACAGGACAGCCCCCCTTCCGCCTCCTCCCCAACAAAGAATTATTCAGCCTAAAATGTCAGTAGTGTCGAGGTTGAGAAACCCTGTTCTAGACAGAATGCAGAGCACAAACAAATGCCCAGAAGTCGGACAAGGCAGAGAGCACTAGGGCCAGTGTGACTGAAATTCAGGGGTAAGGAGTGTGTATGTTATCACAGTGGGAGATGGGGTTAGAAATTCCTTGAATATCAGCTCTCGATCACCAGGACTTTAAGAATCCACTACCAGGGAGTTCGGAGATGAGCTTGGGTGGGAGTTTACTGGGCCCTGCCTCCCAACTCCCAGCAAGTGGCTGAAACAAGACTTGGTATCTCTCCGCAGGGAGCTGGACAGCCTCGTCCAGTCTTCACATTACTGCAAGGGAGAGAACCACAGGCACTTTGAAGGAGGGGTGAAGCTCGGTGTGGGGGCCTTCAACCTGGTGAGTGGGCGTGCCTCTCCCCCATTTCCACAGTGTCTGGCTCCGGATTAATCTTCCCTGCACGTCCCTGCCCCACACCTGGTCATGGCTGAGTGCCACCATGGCTGGCCATGTGCCGGGCATCGAGACCCAGTGATGAATCAGACTCATGGCTTAGGCTTAAGGGGCTCCCAGCTGGGCTGTGGGTGCATGCTGGAGCCAGCTCCACAAAGTCCGTCTGTGCATTTCTTCTCAAGTCAAGTTGTTAGCTTGAAACCCACCATGGTGGGAGTCTTTTTTTTTTTTTTTTAATATTTTTTTCCTTTCCTTTGGTTTCTATTTTTTATCCCAATGATCCACTCTCATTCCCAAGATGGTGGGAGTCTTGACAGCACCACAGCTTGACAAACACAATAAATCAGGGCTTTTTCTGCCCGGGAGAGCTGGTGGTTAAACATTTACCAGTGTCAGGGAAGGAGACAGGCCTGAAAACAGCTGATGACCCACGGGAGACAGAGAGCCACGTCCTCTTCCTGGGGGGACTTTGGAGAAGGTTTCTCATGGGTGGGGTAAGCATTTGAGCTGGATCCTTAGATCCCCAGGAGTCTCCCAGGTGGGGAAGAGCATTCCAGGCAGAGGGCACAGTGTGAGTGGAGACAGGGAGGCCTGGAAGAGCTGTGCTTGCTCCTGGAGCTTCTCAGGCAACACTTAGAGCTCTGGCCCTAGGTGGCGGGGACCTTTCCAAAGTAGCGGGGGCAGAAGTGGTGACTCTTCCCCTCCAGGTAAAGCTTGTTTAAAGAGTAAGCTTTGAGGGTGGGGGAGGTCCCCACCCCACTCTGGGGCACCTTCTGCATGTGCTCATCTGCCGCTTTCCCTGCAGACGCTGTCCATGCTGCCTACGAGGATCCTGCGGCTGCTGGAGTTTGTGGGGTTTTCAGGAAACAAGGTAACCACCTGCCTTCTAGCACCCCCGACCTACTGAAGGCCAGGCCTGGAGCTGGGTGGACAGGGTGGGGCTGAGGGGATGCAGGGTCTGGGTACCAGTCCTGGCTCAGTCCCCCGGACAAGACCCAGACCTCTCTGGGCCTCGTCTTCTCTCCAGGTGAATGAGACCAGTGATACCCGCCTGCCCCCCACAGGGTGGAGAGGCTCTGGGGTGAGGCTGGGTGTGAAGGGCAGCTGTGTACCGTGGCCTGGGGTCACATTCTCTGCACTTTACAGGTATCAGGAGCCTGGTCCTTCTCCCCACAGACACCGCCTCACTTCAAGGCCTTGAGCAAGTCCTTTCCTCCAGGGCCATTTTCTGGTGCTACCACCTCATCTGGGAGATGCCTTGAGGGGGAAGCAGAGAACTCCATCACTCAGGCTTCACTGAGGGTTAAAGGCAGCAGATCAGGGAGGGCTCCCTGGTGGAGGAGGTCCAGTGTGGGGAGAATCGGCCTAGAAGTCAGGAGCCCTGGGCAGCCCAGCCTCACGGCCTTCTCCCTGTGACTCTGAGCAAGTCCCTCTCTCCTCTGAGCCTCTCTTCAGTGAAACAAGGGGCTTTCTGTAGACCAGTACGTGTTCCCAGAGGTGTATTTCTCTAGCCCTTGCTGATATTGGCCACTTCCATGGGCCTTTGTATTATTATTTATATTATATACTTTTTAAAAAAGTAACTCATAATCTTTACTGAAATTTATTTAAAAGAAACATTGCTACATGAAAACCCATATTATTTGGCATGATAAGAACATAATCACAAAAATAAATACCATGAGGCCCAGCAATCTTAGGAAAGCCCTGCTAGATTGCATGGTCGGCCCAGGCACAGCCCCGGCTGCTGCCGTGAAGAAGGGAGCTCGGGTGAGGGTTTGCACACACTCGGGCACAGGACGGGGGCTTTCTCCTGGGCACCATCAGAAGTCTAGAAGGAGAACTGAGAAGGGAAAACCCTTGCTTGTGACTCAGTGTTCCCTGACGCCAGTCCACGGACCCCTAAAATCTTGGTTGCCGTCTACGTGGCCCTATTTGTGCCCTCGGCCTGTGGTCAGGGTTATTGGCCTCCTTGTTCCTCCTGCCGACCAGACCTGGCTGCATGGCCATCAGTGCCCACCGCAGGGTGTTCGAGCAGGTGCACGCAGGGAGGCCTGGGGATGTGGCTGTTGAGGAGGTGGGGACACCCAAGGCCTGGCCAGGCCTTTGTTCTGGCCTTGGCAGCAATGTCCCCTCCCTCCAGGAAGGTGGCTGAGGCACTGAGAGAGGCACCTCTTGCTCAGGGCCACACTGCTGACCCAGCCTCCAGGGTCCCAGGGCTCTCCCACCCTGGTCCCTGCCCCTCTCTGGGAGTCTCAGCCTGTCCTCCTGTCCCCCAGGACTACGGGCTGCTGCAGCTGGAGGAGGGAGCGTCAGGACACAGTTTCCGCGCCGTGCTCTGTGTCATGCTGCTGCTGTGCTACCACACTTTCCTCACCTTTGTGCTCGGTAGGCTTCCCTGTGGGGCGAGCCCTGGGGCCAAGAGGGAGAAGGGCTGCAGACCCTGCTCAGGCCCCCAGGACTGGGGATGAGGGTCCTGAAACCAGAAACAGCAGAGCCTCATCAACTGGCCTAGGGCCTGGCCTGCTCACTTCCTCACAGTGTGACTGGGTTCTAGCCTCAGTGTTCTCATCTGTGAAATGGGCATGGTTGTGCCCACCTTGTAGAGGGTATGAAGATGCTGTAAGCAGCCCCTTGTGGTTCTGGGCACAGCCTTGCCACACACATGCTTCTGGTTATTGAGCCCTGTGATGTGCCAGGCATGCTATCTGCAGTACCTTATTTAATCCTCACATCACCCCAGAGATAGGAAGAATTATTATCCCCATTTCACAGAGGGGGAGATAAAGACCCCAGGAATCCCCTGGTGGGTTGTTGGATCGCAGGAGCCAGTGGAGGTGACGTGTTATGTCCCCCTTCCCCACTTCAAGGTACTGGGAATGTCAACATCGAGGAAGCAGAGAAGCTCCTGAAGCCATACTTGAATCGATACCCTAAGGTGAGCCCCACCCTCTGCCTGGCACCCCAGTCCATGAGCACCCTGCAGACCCAAGGGACCCACGTGTGTGTCATTGCAGGGCGCCATCTTCCTATTCTTCGCTGGGCGGATTGAAGCCATTAAAGGCAACATTGACGCAGTGAGTGATGGGGGTCCGGGCCAGTGCTGAGGACCGCTCAGGGTCTCACAGGCACACACAGACATACTCAGGGACAGGGAAGACTGGGAGGAGGGCCCGAGAGAGAACCAACAAGAGGGCAAGTGTGGGAGAGGCACTTAGGAAGACAAGAGAGGAGGTGGCATTTGTGGTATGTGGGCTTTTGAAGGGAGATAAAGGAGTGTGGCGCCCCTGGAGAGGGAGGGTGCTAGAGGAGGCAGAGGTAGGATGGACCAGCTGCTCAGGGCATGGTGATCAGGCTGCCAGTTGGTGAGCAGAGTGGTATGGCCAGTGGGGTAGACAGGAGCTGTCAAAAGGGTTAGAGATGGGAAGGGTCATGGTCCCAGCAGAGACCCCAGCACTAAGCCAAGGCCCAGGCCAGACTCTGCAGCATGGGGTTCTGGGCTCTCCAGCTGGCCCTAGCTGTGATTCCGCAGGCGGCAGGACAAATGCCTCAGGCCCAGGTAACCTCATGGAAACTGCTGGAACCTTTGGAGTTTGCTTGGAGACAAACATTATTTTATCAATATTACCACTTTCCACTGCCTCTTATCCCCTCCATTATAGCTCTGTCCTGACCTCTCACTTTTTTTTTTTTTTTGAGACAGAGTCTTGCTCCATTGCCTGGGCTAGAGTGCCGTGGCGCCAGCCTAGCTCACAGCAACCTCAGACTCCTGCGCTCAAAAGATCCTTCTGCCTCAGCCTCCCAAGTAACTGGGACTACAGGCATGCGCCACCATGCCCGGCTAATTTTTATATATATATATTTAGTTGTCCAGATCATTTCTATTTTTTAGTAGAGACGGGGTCTCGCTCTTGCTCAGGCTGGTCTCGAACTGCTGACCTTGAGCGATCCACCTGCCTCGGCCTCCCAGAGTGCTAGAATTACAGGCGTGAGCCACCGCGCCCGGCCCTGACCTCTCACTTTTTGACTGAAAAACTAGAGTTCCAGATAGGGGCAGTGATTGGGCCCAAGGTCATGTGAGATTTAGGCATTGATGCAGGACAGGAGGCCAGATCCCCTGGCTCCCCAGCCCCGACCTGAGCCTAGCACAGGGCTGGATCACCATGCACTGGAGGGGCTGGGGCCGCTGTGGAGTTGGGAGGGTGTGGAGGGTCTAGAGGGCAGGGTGGGGCTGGGTGGGCACCCACCAGGCTGACCAGCGGGTGCCTGCAGGCCATCCGGCGGTTCGAGGAGTGCTGTGAGGCCCAGCAGCACTGGAAGCAGTTCCACCACATGTGCTACTGGGAGCTGATGTGGTGCTTCACCTACAAGGGCCAGTGGAAGATGGCCTACTTCTACGCCGACCTGCTCAGCAAGGAGAACTCCTGGTCCAAGGTGGGCACTGGGAGACCAGGGCCAGCCAGGCTGGCCATGAGCCCCCAGACCGAGGGCCAGCTGAACGCAGATGTGTCAGCTGGAATCTAAACAGAACCACAAATTGTAATAGGACTGGAAGGAACTAAAGACCACAGGAGCAGAGAAACTTTAGAACTACAATCATGTCAGTCGAGATTTTTAGTCACAAGGGATGGAAACAGGGCTCAAACGCACTGTCTGATAGAACTGTCTGCTGTGGTGGAAATGTTCTATTTCTGGACCATATTCACTTGGAATGTGCTTGGTGCAACTGGAAACCTGAATGTTTTAAATTTTATTTAATTTTAATGAATTAAACTTTAGCCACATGGGCCTAGTGGCCACCAATTGGACTACACGGATGTAAAACACAAAAGGCTCATTGGCTCACAGAGCTAAAAATTCTAAGCACATCTGACTTTAGGAAGGGCTGGGTCCAGGAATTCAAATTCCATCTTGTCCAGGCAGATTCGCTCCATATGACGGGCAGGCTGGCTGTGGGCTGCCTCTAACTCACATTTCCCCATTGGTTTCAGAGTCTCACAGTTGAGCCTCACTGGTATGGCTTAAGGCACACGTTAATGCCTGAGAGAGGGGAGAGAGGGGACTCCTCAGGGACTTAGAGTAGGAGGGCGCAGTTCCCCAAAAGAAAAATGAGGTGACGTATCCAGAAGTCACCTTTATTGGGAGGGCAATAAAGAGATGCCATGCCCCATAAAATCATATTATACTCTGAAAAAAAAAAAAAAAAGAGAGATGCCATGTAGGCAAAACAAACAAAACAGATGCCCACTACAGATGACGTTATCATGGTAAGTGTTGAAGTAAATATTAGCCTTTATTGTCATAGTAATGATAGCACAGAAATCCGAACCGAGAGTCTTAGAATCACCCAGCTCAGAGAGCATCGAATCTGGTATTTGCAAACACGGCATCACTTGCCCACGGCAGACATTGCTAATCGATCCTGGCACTCTGCCGTGAGCCTGCTGTGACTTAGAGGCCTTCTCTGCAGAGCGCTCCAGGCAGCCATTAGCACTGGCCTGCGCTGGCACATGTCTGAAGAAGGAAGTCCTTCAGTGCCCCTGCCTGGGGGCCGGGTGGCTAGGGAATTCTCTGGGTCCTGGCCAGTGGGGCTGGGGGAGGAGTAGGCTTCCACCAGCTCTCACTGTGTCTCCACACCACACCCAGTGAGGCGGGAAGAAGTTACCATCTCCACTGGGCACATGAGGGCCACTGAGGCTAAGAGAGAGTATGTGACTTTCCTGGCCCACATAGCTGTTGGTGACGGACACTGGATTCGAGGACGGTTCTGTGTGACTCAGAGAGGCCTCTGCTTTCCCCTTGCTCCTCTGGTCCTCCGGAGGAGGCCAGGCTTGCCCCGAGCCCACCCTGCTGTTGAAGGTGCTTCCTCAGGCCTGGCCCCCTCCATTCCTCACCTCCTCCCACTCCCAACAAGAACAGAGCCCCAGGGAGCCTTTTTGAACTACAAGTGACTCTGGAAGCCTTCCTGTGGAGCGAGGCAGGCAGCTGGGTCCGCCCACACAGGGCAAGGGAGGCCTGGGGCGGCCACACAGCTGCTGTGAGGAGCAGAGGGAGGGCGAGGCCCTCCAGGTGTCAGGAAGTCTGGCTGAGCCCCAGCTCAGTCCCCAGATCACTGTGACTTTGGGGTGGTTGGTCCCCCTCTTTCTGCAACACTCTTTTCAAAAGGACTTGCTGTGAAAAATGGGGATTGTAACACCCCAAGCTCTGGCGCCCCATCCATCCCTAATCTCCAGTGCTTGGCCACCACAGAGTCTACCAACTGCCCGTCCTAAGGACCTGGCTTCTGGCCACACCGTATGCACCAGCCCCCCTGCCCAGCAGCCCACTCTGGTCTGGACCCTTCAAGGCCAACCCTGTGGAGGCTTCAAGTTTCCCCCAGTGCTTGCAGCCTGGAGGCTGAGATGGCCAGAAGCTCGGTGGTGACAGTGTCACACTCAGGACTATGCGGAGGGAATCCCAGGGAGCTCAGAGGCATCCCTGGGCAACCTGGCCAAGAGGACAAGGAAGGTTTCTGGAACAAGAGATCTCTGAGCAGAGTCTTGAAGGACGAGGAATTAGGGTGGCAGAGCAGAGCAAGCAAGAGGACACTCTAATCCTGGAGAACAGCAGGAGCAAAGGCTCGGAAGCCAGGGTGCTGCCAGGAGGTTCTGTACAGTGGGCGAAGGGTTTGTGCGGTGGGAGAGCAGGGGGCCCGGATCAGGGGAGACAGCTGCCGTCTGCCATCAGCGTGGCCCCATAACATCCCTGGGGAGCTTGGACGTCCACAGTGCTGAGTCACTGCATCCAGCCTAACTCCTGGTGGCGCAATGAGGGTGAGCCTTCTGTGGGATGTGGGGAGAGGCTCTTGGAGGAATGAGCTGGGGAGGGACAGTGGCATTCCAGGCAGAGGAGCAGCATAGGCAAAGGCCTGGGGTAGAGTTGCAGGAGTGAGCGGGAGGAAATGGCAGAAGATGAGCCAGAAAAGGAGTTTAGGGCAGGTCGTGGAGGGCATGAGTGGCTGTTTGCGCTTTACTCTAACAGTAGGGGATCCTTGAAGGCTTGGGGTTTAGATTTGTGCTTTGGAAATCCCACCTGCAATTTCTGGGCACCCCAAGGTGCCAGGTCCTGTTCTGGGCCAGGAAATACAAGAGTGCACAGAGCAAAGACCCATCTCAAGGCTCCAGTCCTGGTGGGGAAAGAGACAAGGAATAGACAAACACGTTGATGTCCAGTGTAATAGGATGCCAGGTTCCAGTAAGTGCAGTAGGGAGCAAGCAAGGTGAGGGGCATGGAGTGGGGGGCTCTTTTGTCAGGGCTGGCCAGGCGCAGCAGAAGGCACTCACATGTAGTGAAGGAGCAAGCTCGTGGGTGGCCATCTGAAGGGGACATTCAAGCAGAGGGAGCTGTGGGCCACAGGTGCTGGGCAGGACTGCATTTGATGTATTCCAGGGACAGCTGGAGGCCAGTGAGGCCCTGGAGTGATACTATGCCGACCGGCTGGAGGGAGCGATATACGTGGGACGGGGATTGTACAGTCTGATTTGGATTTTATGCTAAGTGTGATGGGATATCACCAGAAGTTTTCCAGAAGGCACTGATGTGATCTAACTTAAAAAGATCAGAGTGGCGAAGGTGTGGAGAATGGCTTGCAGCAGATGGGGGTGGGAGGATCCCAGACCTCCCCAGGCCAGTAGGAGGACATCCCTGGTAGCCTGGAGCAGCCAAACGGTGTGGAGATAAGGTGCGGCAATAATGAAGAGAGTTGCACGGGCAAAGCTAGTTAGTGGCATTCAGGAGCTAGACCGGAGGTAAAGCCACTAGGACTTGGTGCCTCCATGGCAGGGGTAGACGAGGAGAGGGCAAGAGCGACACCGAGAAGTTCAAGATGGGACGGGGAACAGGTTTCACTAAGGGAGACAATTCCGACCGCAGCCCACAAAGACCAGCTTTTCCTCATGTTGTAAAGGCCTGCGTGGGTGGAGCTGCCGGGTGGAGACCAGACTCCAGGATGTCCTGGTCCCTCTCGGCCACCCTCCTCTCGGCCTGGAGGCAGGAGCTGTGGTTCAGCGCTCGGCCACCGGAGGGCAGCACAGAGCCGGCTCCCCTCCCAGGGCCGTCCGCGGAAGGGGCGTGGCGGCGGGGAAGGCTGGGCGGGGCGGGGCCTCCTGCCTGCCGCACCTCTCCCGTCTGGGCTGGTCGTAGGTCCAGTGGGCAAGGTCCTGGGGTCCACTCCCAGCTCTGCCCCAGTAGCTCTGGAGTCCCAGGAAGCAGAGGTGGGGAACAGATTTCTTTCTGGCACCGTCTTTGGGATCAAGTGTGCCGGATGTGAGGTCCTGGCACACAGTAAGACAGTTCTCCCCGGGAGGCCGGAGCTGAGCCTCGCCCCAGGGCCCCGCTCACTCTTCTGGTCTCACCTCCTCTTTTATGCCTCCCGTGCTTGCGCCTCTCCTCAGTATCCTACCCACACCCACCTGCCCCTCCCTGGCTTTTCTCAGGCTGTCCCCCTTATTTGGGCCTCTGCGAATCTTCCCGTGGTCCTTCTGGGGCCCACTCTGGAGCTCTTGCTTCCCAGAAGCCTGAGTGCTGTCCCTGGCCTGTCTCCATCCCAGCCTTGCGCGTCCTGCCCATCACTAGTTGCTTGGGCCCTTCTCTCCACTGCTTCAAGGGGAGGGGGTGGCTGCTTTGACATGGCTTGTCCTGGATTTGACTCCTAGCTCGAGTCCTCCGGGTGCATCGGCTTCCTCACCTCAGTTCCTCGCCAGGGGCCTGGGGCGGTGCTGGGCCACAGCGAGGTCTGCATGGGGCGTTGGTGCCGTGCTGGCTGTGGCTGGGGAGGGCTGCTCACACCTGGCTGTTGCTCTGCTCACACAGGCCACCTACATCTACATGAAGGCCGCCTACCTCAGCATGTTTGGGAAGGAGGACTACAAGCCTTTCGGGGATGACGAAGTGGAGTTATTTAGGTGGGTCCTACCATCACGCTCCCAATCACAGGCCTCAGCTGTGGACAGACCAGCCAGGCTCTGCCCACGGCCACCCTGACTGTGGCACCAGGGAGGGGGATGGTGAGGTGGCCATCTCCCCCCACTCCAAGCTCCCTGCCCCTGCCCCAGGATTGCCCCATGTGCTTGTCATCCCCTCCCATCACCACCCCGTGCTGCTGCAGCTGCTGGTTAGATCCCTTTGAATCTGTTCAGAGGTTTTCTTTCACAGAAGTGGTTTTGTCAACATCCTCTACCACTGAGTCTCTTTCATCTGTTCAGTAGGACAGATGTGAACTCTGAGGTCTGGAGAGGGGAAGGTCCTTCGTTCTGCTGAGTTAACCAGATACATTCAGAGAAGCACAGCAGAGAGCCCAAGAGTTAGAATCAAACAAGCAGGATTAAACCGAGCCTCTGCCATTTCTTTGCTGTGTCACCTGGGACAATTTCAGCAACTATAAAATAGGAATAACAACCTTCACCTTGCAGGGTGGTTTTGTGAATCAACTAGATAATATATTTAAAGAGTCTGGCATAGGACCTGGAACTTAGCAAGCTGCTCGCCAAGTGGTGGCTGTTTTCATTCTTATCTGTACCACTGTGTTTACCTCCTGCAAAAGGTCGTTAGAGCACAGCTCAGCCTTGGCAGGCTGAGGATGGACCCTAGAGCCTTCCTCCTGTCAAGGTGAGGTTGGCCCCAATTTGCAGACCTGGAAGTGGGTGTCACATGAGCTTCCTCGGCTCCTGCTGTCACACCAATGGGGCATTTATCACTTACGGAGTGCCTGCTACTACAGTGAACTCCATGTCCCCATCTCATATAACTCTTCCAGAAAGCCTTGTGACGGAGGGTGGGTGTCACCTCCAGTTTAAAGATGAGGAAATTGAGGTCCAGAGAGGTTCCACAGTGAATAAGCAGTTTGCGGGGACCTCACACCTACATCCAGCTATTTCCTGAGCCTAAATGGCTCATGCCAGAGGTCACAGCCACACCTGGAGACTGTGGCAGAAATCAGAGGAGGGTGGGATGGAGTTGGGCGGGTGAGGTCCCAGATGTGGAGGCTCGCCTAGCTGCATTCCATATATTTTGCTCTGCCCTTAGAAAGAGCTGAGAAGGCCAGGAGAAGACAAGAGTTAATTAAGGGTTTGAGCTGTTTGGTGTTGGATAGGTCCCACCCTTTCTCTGGGTGTTAGTCTCCCCTGTGAAAATGGGATTAGGCTTCCATAGGGCCCTTCCCAGAAATAGGGCCTGGGAGTGGAAGAGAGAAGTGAAAGTAGGAGGCAGAGCAGACCTAGGGACATGTAGGTGCACTCTCACCTCTGCCAGGTGGTGTGGAAGAGCTCCTTGTCCAGCCATAGGAAGTGGCCAGGTCTTGGGCAGGGCCTGTGAAATAAGACCCTAGACACAGGCTGTTTCAGACCTATGAGGCTCTTTAGGGTCCAACACTGTCATCATACAGGTGGGGAAACAGGCCCAGAGAAGGGCCAAGCAGAGGCTGGGTAGGATGGGGACCCTCAGTCCTCTCTTGCTTTTTCTCATTCTCTCCTCACCCTCCCCATCTCTTTTGCAGAGCTGTGCCAGGCCTGAAGCTCAAGATTGCTGGGAAATCTCTGCCCACAGAGAAGTTTGCCATCCGAAAGTCCAGACGCTACCTCTCCCCCAACCCTATCTCATTGCCAATCCCTGCTCTGGTGGGTAGGAAGGTCTGGACTGGGTCCTGTCCCCTGGTTTAGGATTGTGGGGATTAGCTGAGAGCCACTGAAGTGGATGAGGAGAAAGGCTTTCATGCCTTGGGCCTGGAGAGGGTTTTATAATTTACCTGGGCCCTGGGGAGGAGGAACACAGATGAGTCTGACTCAGCCCCTGCCCCTTAGAAAGTGATGGTCCAGGGCTCTCATGGCTCACACCTGTAATTCCAGCATTTTGGGAGGCCAAGGTAGGAGGATCTCTTGAGGCCAGAAGTTTGAGACCAGACTGGGCAACATAGCAAGACCCTCTCTCTAAAAAAAAAAAATTTAAAAATTAGCCAGAAGTGGTGACCTATAGTTCCAGCTGCTTGGGAGGCTGAGGCAGGAGGATCGCTTGAGCCCAAGAGTTCAAGGCTGCAGTGGGCTATGATGGTACCACTGTACTCTAGCAGCATGGGCCATAGAGTGAGACCCTGTCTCTAAACAAGACCAAAGAAAGTGAAAGTGATGGTCCATTGAGTGTAGGGGTGGAGAGGAAACAGGTGAGCAGCTACAGATACCAGGAGGCAGAAAGAGCAGCTCTCCTGGACAGCCCCATGTCCCTCTGCCCAGATGGGGATAGCACCTGGCTGGCTGTTTCCAGCCAGTCTGCTTCAGTGTTTATATGAAGCAGATGATTATAACTGTTGTTTACACTGTCCCCTTCATGTGACCAACCTTTTCATGTTACGTTCAACTCTGAACTAACAGTAAGTAATAGCCAACATTGCTCCTGCGCACTTGCTATATTGCCTGTTGCCTCATTGGGACCTCTCATCAACTCTCTGAGTAGGGGCTGGTGGTAGCTCCAGCTTACAGGTGGGGCTAGTAAGGCCTAATAGATAAGTAGAAAGATTAAAAAAACACAGTCCAGGTCACACAGCTAGTGAGTTGGAGAGTCAGAATTTGAACTCAGCAGTTTGGCTTCACAACCCATATTCCGAGCCATTATGATGATGCTAAAATTTCATGCATGATTTGAGCAGGCATCGGATAGTGTTGCAGTTTGTTAAGAGTCCTTGTTATTCAAATAGTAAAGCAGCCAGAAAAGTAGAAGCTTTGCTTCAGAGACCTTTTTCTGGTCCTGGCTCTCACAATTCACTAATTGTCTAGCGTTAGGTAAGTTCCCTCTTCCCTTAATGCAAAATGGATATAATAATATACACTTTTCTGGCCGGGCGCGGTGGCTCACGCTTGTAATCCTAGCACTCTAGGAAGCCAAGGCGGGAGGATTGCTTGAGCTCAGGAGTTTGAGACCAGCCTGAGCAAGAGCGAGACCCCGTCTCTACTAAAAATAGAAAGAAATTAGCTGGACAACTAAAAAAATATATATAGAAAAAATTATCCGGGCATGGTGGTGCATGCCTGTAGTCCCAGCTACTCGGGAGGCTGAGGCAGAAGGATTGCTTAAGCCCAGGAGTTTGAGGTTGCTGTGAGTTAGGCTGATGCCACGGCACTCTAGCCTGGGTAACAGAGTGAGACTCTGTCTCAAAAAAAAAAAAATTAATAATAATAATATACACTTTTCCCATTTCGTAGAACAGTTATGAGAATCAACTGAGAAAATGTGTTAAGTACTTTATAAATTGAAAAGTTCATATTTATATAGAATTTTATTTAGAGCTTATATCCTGAATATTTCTAAACAAATTTTAAAATATTTTATAGTTTAAAATATACAGTAAAGCTATTACTACCAAATGGGGGAGGAGGATATTTTAAGAAGGGGAGGGAAGTAACTATACTAAAAATTTAGGGGACAATTTCCCAAACTGTAATCTGCAAAATACTGTTTATGCATGAAGTGATTTCTGTGATTAGTATATTTGGGAAAGACTGGCCTAAACAAAGTTTATACACTGTAGACTTTCTTGGAGCCTCTATATGCTAATTTGCATGGTGAGTCTCCAAGAAGCTCAAAGATGAGGTTTTTCCCTACCTTGTCTGGCCACAGAACCCTGTTTTAAAAAACAAAACATTTGCTAACTTGGGACCACAAAACAATTTGAGAAATACTGGTCTAAATTTAAATTTCCTTCCTAGATCATAATAACAAGAACCTCAACAATAATGTATTTCTAGAACTTTATACAAAGCACTTTCATATCCATTACCTGGTTTGATAGTTTAGGAAATGGTAATTTAACACATTAACTACCATGTGAGTTATATTTAACTCATACTAGTTTTGAGCCCGGGGCCTTGTGAAGCAAAACCCTACAGTTGGTCTGTGAAAATCTTGTTGATGTTGTTATTGTTACAGTTAATATTGACAATTTAATTCTAAAAACATGGATTGCATTGCATATAACTCATGCACAGAAAACAAGAAAAAATAACAAATCAGAAAGGATCATTTTGTTTTAATAAAACACTGTGGCCCCAGGGAAATTTTTTTTTCCACTAGTGTGGCAGTCAGTGTGTTAAGCTAACAGGGTTACTATGAATGAAAATTTAATTTAGTATTCTGAGCTTCCTGGCAGTCCAGCAAAAAAAGGAATCAGGATATGTTTTATGGTTTTCATGATGATAAGTCTAAAGGAAATGAAATATGAGTTGTCATTTTTGAGCCCATTGTTTTGGGGGAATAGGAGAGAAGAGGACATAGTCTTAAACTATGTTGTCCTGAAGTGCTTAAGTAAATTATGGTTCCTCCAATATGGTAGGAGGCCCTGCCAGCTGGAGACAGAGAAGAGCTTCCTGGAGAGTGTGGGGCATGGCCTGGTCTTCAAAGGATGGAAAAAGTTTGCACACAGAGAGATTGGGGAAAAGGGCATAATAGTACCTAGGGAAGCGACGAGCAGAAAAGTAGCTGGAAAGTATTGGCAGCTATGAACAGAACAGTGAGGACATTGATCCATCTGAAATCCTCACTGGGCTAAGGCAAGATCTCAGGAATAAGTGACGAGGCTCCCTCCATAATCTCCTCGAGCCCATAGCTTTACATGCTGGGCTGAGACTTGTCATGGATGATTAGAGCCAGAAGGGCCTTTAGTGATCCTCTGATCTGAGCTGCCCATTTTACAGATGGGAAAACTGAGGCCCCATTGGGGAAGAAACCTAGGACTGATTTGCCCCTCTGCCCTCAGGAAATGATGTACATCTGGAATGGCTACGCTGTGATTGGGAAGCAGCCGGAACTCACAGATGGGATCCTTGAGATTATCACCAAAGCTGAGGAGATGCTGGAAAAAGGGCCAGGTGACTACACTCAGGCCCTGGAACCTGCCAGGCTAGGTCAGGTCTTCACAGTTGAAGGTTCCCTTTGCCAAAATGTCCTCCCTCCCTTCTCTACCCTGGTAACTCCTTTGTCTTTCTAGACTGAGCTCCAATGTCAGCTCCTCCAAGCAGCTGGCCCTTGTCCCCTAGGTAGGGTCAAAGCCTCCTTTGGGCTCCCACAGCCCCTGGGCTTCCTTCAGTCATTGTCTCAGTGTCTGCCTTTCCTTCTCAGATGTGAGGCCCATGAGAACAGGAACCATGTCTGATTTACCTGTGTCCCCTGGGCCCAGCACAGAGTAGAGGCTCCGTGCATGTTTGCTGCAGAAATGAGCAAGCCTGTTTTCTTCCCTAACGTCCTTATTTTCAGAGAATGAGTACTCAGTGGATGACGAGTGCTTGGTGAAATTGTTGAAAGGCCTGTGTCTGAAATACCTGGGCCGTGTCCAGGAGGCCGAGGAGAATTTCAGGATCATCTCTGCCAAGTAAGTGCCTCTGCGGCTGTTCCTGCTGGGTCTCCTGGGATGGAATTGTCAGTGCTTCTCCATCCTCACGCCCACTGCAGTGGCTGACCTGTGCCAACCCCGTTCGCCACACATGTACCTGTCTACTCTGTGCCAGGACCTGGGCTGGGCACAAGGGGCACAGCTAACTCAGACCCAGCCCCCCAGGGCCACCCAATTACCTGAACAGGAGCCCACCCATGTTATTTCCAGTGAACAGTGCCCCCAGGGTGTGTGCTTCAGCGACCCTGCCCTGCCCCTGCGAGTGCACATGCTACAGAAGGCTGGCTGTGGGCGGCTCAACCTAGGATGATCAAGGCTGTGCTAGAGGAAGGCCGAGAGGACAGTAGGTGCCCTGAGGGACCTAAACATAATGGGAGGTACCAGGAAAGGCTTTTCAGAGCCAACATTGAAATTGGGAAGTTTATCAAGCAGAGGAAGCAGGGAGTGGAGCAGGTACAGGATGTGCAAGTGTCTGGACGTAGGAAAGACTCCCGAGGTTGGGGCGATGGTGCTTAGGCCCTTCCCTGCCTGTGCTGAAGATGAAAGGAGGAGGGCTAGATTGAGAAGCGCCTGGATGTTTTGTTCACGAGGCTAAACTTTATCCTGCAGACAGGAGAGAACCAGGAAGGAAACCAGGCAGGGCAGACTGGGGTTGTTTTTTTTTTTTTTTTTTTTGGTACAGGGTTTTGCTCTGTTGCCCAGGCCAAAGTGCAGTGGTGTGATCATAGCTCCCTGTAACCTCAAATTCCTGAGCTCCAGTGATCCTCCTGCCTCAGCCTCCTGAGTAGCTGGGACCACAGGTGTGCACCACCACACCCAGCTAATTTTTTTCTTTTTTAAAGAAAAAAATTTGTAGAGACTGGGTCTCTTTATGTTGCCCAGGATAGTCTCGAATTCCTGGGCTCAAATGGTCTTCCCACCTCGGCCTCCCACAGTGCTGGGATTACAGGTGTGAGCCACTGTGCCCGGCCAGACATGGGTTTTCAAAGGATGTCTCTGGGGCAGCACGGAGGGCAGGTCAGAAGGGGCCAGATCAGAGAAAGGAGATTTTCCAGTTTAAGAAACCATTCAACATGGAGAAAAGCAGGGTTGGGGCTTAGGTGAGGGTGGGCTAAGGACATGACAGGAGCCATAGGCTGTCAGGGAATTGTGGCCCAGGATACAAGACTGGAAGATTCTTCCATGGATCCCAGCCTTTCTAGTGCTAGGTAGTGGGAACCTTCCAAAATTGAAATTCAGATCAGGAAATCCTCACATAAAGTTTGGAGAAGGCTCAGGAGGAGGAACTGAAGGACGTCTCAAGGGCAAAGCATGTGAGCCATGTCCTCCTCTGTTCTGCAGTGAAAAGAAGATTAAATATGACCACTACTTGATCCCAAATGCCCTGCTGGAGCTGGCTCTGCTGTTTATGGAGCAAGGCAGAAACGAAGAGGCCATCAGACTCCTGGAATCTGCTAAGTAAGGCTTGGGGAGCCTCGATCTGTCCTTGGCTCCTCTGAGCTCAGCTCAGGAGCTGGCTGGGGACAGAAGCCCAGGCAGCAGTGAGTGGCAAGGGCAGTACGGCTGTCCAGAGAGTAGACCTGCATCCTTGGGAACTTGGCTCTCACCTGGCATAGGAAGGCTTCCTCTTCATTTACAAATGAGCAAGTAGAATCCCAGAGGCAGGAAGTGAGTTGCCCAGGGTCACATCACAAACGAGCTGCACTGCTGGTTTGAGGACCCAGGTCTCCTGCCTTCCAGTCCAGGGATCTATCTCCCAAAACCACCCCTTCAAGCTTAGGTACTAAACAGGACCAAGAGTGGTATCAGTAGGCATGATACCAGGGGTGAGGGGCTACAGATCCTTTCCATTAAGGTTAATCCTCCCATTGAGTGGGGCTAAACTTTTTTTTTTTGAGACAGGGTGTTGCTCTGTTGCCCAGGCTAGTAGAGTGCGCTGGCATCATCGTAGCTCACAGCACCCCCAAACTCCTGGGCTCAAGCGATCCTCCTGCCTCAGCCTCCC